CCTTTGGAAAAGCTATTTTGTTATATTCCTCTTGACGTCGCTCTTTGTTAGTTTCCATCAAAGTTTCTTGCGAAATTTTGACCATGTTAATATCCATAGCGACATCCTTAGTAATGTCTAGATTTTGAAATTCCATTGTAAGGCCATCATCAACCTTATATATCCGCATGAAACCATCAGCGGTATCTTTCGTCACCATTACCAGATTAGAATCCTCAATGATTCATGTTGTATCGAAACCATTAGCAGTTTTGTTATTAACGCCTTCGATGACTCCTTTGGTGAGGCCATCAGTAACCTCACATACGCAATCTTTTATAACTTTCTCGTCAAGATCCTCAATGATCTTAACCATGATAGCATCATTGACGAAGTCACTAGTGAATTTGACCATGTTAACATTATGAGCGAAGTCATCAATAACTTTGATCATATTGACAACAGTAGGTTCAGTGAAATGGGCATCGGCCACTTGTAAAGGGTCAACATCGATTTTCATCAGAGTCTTCATTTTCTCACCAAACCTTAATATCTCATCCTTAATGGCATTTTGAACTAGATCCCTGAAAGAAAACATTGAGATGTTTTATGACCCAAAAAGTTATGATACTTATAAAACCCTATTTTCTTCCTTTGCTCTAAAGTTATGATACTTATAAAACCATCTTTAACTAACAAGTCAAAAACATTTGGTGACGTCGAAGGTGTAAGTTTTCTTAGGGAACCTATCGTTCCTGTCTGGTTCGAGTGGGTTTTTCCCGTTTGAGGGGGTTAAGACCTTACAAGTATAAGGAGGCCCTTGCTTTAACTCAGCAAGATCAATCTCACTCTCGTCAAAGTTTGAAGGCTCATTATATTTTCCCTCATCATCTTTATTAAATTATACATAGGTCACCCTCTTGTTTTTATTTGCTCTAGCTTTTTCCTCATTTAAGCGTTCTAATTGTCGAACCCTGTTAGCCAGTTGGGCCATATCTCTTAAGTACTAGGTATCTAGTTTCATCCTAATAGAATAGTCTAGACCTCCAGCGTCCATTTCGACCAATTCGTGCTCTGGTACTTGTGTAAAACACCTGGCCTTAAGTAAATGAAATCTATTCAAATAATCATCTATTGGCTCAGTAAACTTTCATTCGATACTGACCAATTCCTTCAAGCTAATCTTGGTTTGTCCCATATAAAACTGTTCATGGAACAACCTTTCTAACTGAGTCCAGTTATGGATCGAATTTGGTGGCAAGGTTGTGAACCACGTAAAAGCATTTTTTGTAAGAGAACTTGGGAAATATTTTATCCTAAGATTTTCATTATTAGAAATCTCTTCAGCCTCTATCAAATATCTAGTCACATGTTCCAGAGTGGATTCAGCGGTATCCCCCGAAAACTTAGTGAACTTAGGAACTTTCCATCTAGGGGATATGTCTGATTGTAAAATATACTCTGAAAAATGGCGAAGTATAGTTTGGTCTCTGTAGACCAAAATTTACCCGATTTCACGTCATTATCCTTTCAATCATGGCCGCTAAATTTTTATTTGCGGCCATATCATCATGTTGAATTTGTTGTACAACATTATCAACATTTTGATCCCTATTCACCATTACTACCATAGGTCTCTCCTCAATGGGAATTTGCGGTTGGGCTCTAGGAGGTTCGATTTTAGGTTGTTGATCGCTACTTTTGCATTGGCTAGATTTGCCTGGGGAAGGTCTCTTTGGTTTTGTTGAACCTGATTAACAGTAGGATCTTCTTCGAGGACTAATCTCTGATTTGCCAATACGTATTCTCTCTACAGATGTCAATGAGGCTGTGGCACTCCAGAAAAATTCGCAAGACGTATCATCTGCACTGTCATTTGTTGGTTGGATTGAGTGGTGCTTTGTATTATGGGATTAAGAATCGTCTCCATTGTTTGGGCCAACATTTGGACCATTTCGCGGTTACGCTCATCCATTTGTTGCCTAATGACTACTGCAGGATTACTGGTCAAGTTTGGCATTTAGGTGGAATAACTAATTCCTAAAGGTTGGCTATTTTGACCTATGTTTATCCTAGATCCCGATCCTTGTAATGGCGAAGTAACATTCATTATAGGTTCTGAGAATGTTGAGACGGTTTATGCAAATTCGCCATCATGGATGTTGGCATTCCATAAGGTTGATCTCGATTGTCTAAGGGCATAGAGAAACCTGAGGGCATGAAGGGCCTATTTGAAGCATTTCCCATTGGTGGAGGGGTTACTAGAGGGCCCTTTGGCCCAATATAATTTAGAATGGATTCACTATGGGTAATCGACTGCGTGGGTATCAAACTTGCCATAGATGGCATTGGTTCTGACACAGTCGCTGGAACCGTTGTTCCTCCAATCAAAGATAATTGAGGCGGTTCTTGATTGTTACTCGATGAACTTTGAGGAGTTGAAACATTTGGCTGATTTGAATTTGTCATTCTCCTAGTATATCTTCTCCTCGGTCTATCCTCATTACTGATGACTACTTTGCCACTTCTTAATAACATACAACGAAGTCTTCAAAGAGAAAAAACAACAAAACAAACTTGCAAAAAGAACACTACTAGCATTGTCCCACAGGGCATGCCAATTTGTTTGCTGTAAAAATTAGTAAACAACCGCTGGTCTTTCCAAATCGAAAAAAAATTAGATTATGTACAGGATCGACCATACAAATCCTAAGACATGTAATAGTAAATCTTAAATTAAAGTTTGGAAAATGGTGAATATTTCGACAATACGCATGACCTAACAACTATCAACTTCGAAATTTAAAGGAAGTAAATTTCAGAAACTTAATCAAAAGCAATTGAATGCATTGAAAAATAACTTAAGCAATGAAAAGATAAACTTTGTGGTAAAAATATGAAATTTGCATTAAAGTGTAAAAAGTATGTTGTTTGTCAAACGTACGTTTTCTCGACACACTCTTTTCTCTGCACACAGATACTTTGAGTAATTTTAGAAATTTCGTACAATTTTGAACACACCCTGATCCTAACGCTAGGACCTTCTATTTATAATGATAAAAAATAACTGACCCTAACAATCTTCCTATGAACAAATGACAAGTGGCGTTCAACATATCTCTCTTAAAAATGCTCCACGTGTCTCATTCACAAATCTGGATAATAACAAAAGTTTCCTCCTTTATTTGAATTCAAATCACATGTCGAAACAACATCACCATCTTCTGTCGAACCAACTTCTAAGACTTTAAAATATTTTCTCTTCAAACCTTAATCAGCATATCCTCCTCACACAAAAAGGTAGCTTCGACCAAAACAAGCAAATTTCACAACTTTGTCAAAACCTCACAACACTTCATGTAACTCTATTTATTGTTTTCATTAATTGAAACTAAGAGTCGAATTTGGGAGTTAACAGTGCCTAAAGGAGGAGTAAAACATTTCAGTAATGGGAAGACATTTAATGTCTTCTCCCCTGCTACTTTTCCATCTAACTCCAAGCGATTCTACTTTTGATTTAAAGTGAACGGCATCCTCAGAGGCTGACCGCAACTGCTAATGACTTTCCCGACTTAGTAACGTCCGACAAGCCTTATGGGCAATTATTACGGGTCGCCTAAAGGCCCAAGAAGCTAAGGCCCAAACTGATGTCAATTCACTCCAAGTGACTTAAGGTATAAAAGCCATATCACAAGATATTCAAGGTACATTTTTCTGATCTCCACTTTTTACTACGCTTGTATTGAGTTTCAAGGTATAAAAGACATATCACAAGATATTCAAAGTAATTTTTTTTATCTACATTTTTTACTACACTTGTATCGAATTTCAAGATATAAAAGCCATCACAATATATTCAAGATATAAATAGTAGTTAAACATATGCATTTTTTATAAATAAATTCTTTAATATCCATAAATTTAAATTAAATATCAATACATTTAATGTAAATTGTTATATTTTTTGTTTGTCAAACATAACTAATAAAAAAAATATTAATAATTGATTGATATTATGACATTATTATAATTATATATAATTTCTTTTTGAAATAGCATATACTGTACTAAAAAAGAAAGGAGGAAGTCGATATCCTTTTAAACGACCATACACATATATTGATTATTTTGAAATAAAATTTTAACTAGTATCATTAAATTTATCGGAACATAAACAACTACTTATATACGTTCACAAAATATATTAAATAATTAATTTAAAATAAAACGAAAACTGAGTTATTAAATTTATTGGATAATTATAGTGGGAGAAATGATAGTATTATCCAGTTAGAAGCCAACTGGCAGAAAACAGAAAGCGATGTTGGCACTTGATCCGAGTGAGGGGTCTACTTTCTTCACGTGCCATTACGCCCTTCCTCGCCTTTCTCACGAAACCTCCTCCTCACACACATGTCATCATCTTGAACCTCTAAATCTAAACATCAGGACCACTTTTCTCCACCCAACCTCCAATCTCCTCGTAACAAATACCCATATTCCCCTCTTTCCAACTTTACCCTCCCTCATCTATATATTATTTCCATCTTTTGTGCTTTGAAACAAGTGAATCGACAAAATAATTTAATATTGTTTTACTATTTTATTATAAAAATTCTATAAACTTGCATATAAATATTTAAGTATTTATACTTTAAGTTCAATGGATGTAATAACTTAAAGTGAAAATATATTAATTTATTATTCTATTCAACCATAATAACTAAATTGATTGAACCTTGACTAAAAAGTTTAACTGATTCAATCCAAACTCTTTTTTGATAACTTCAAATGCGGGGCTATATCCGGAATTTACACCACTTTCGCTCTTATCCACTCCAAAATGCACAGCTCTCTAAATGCAAAAGAATACAAAACCCAACCATTTTATTTTTTCAAAAAGCACATAAACTAAAGTAAGTATTAACCTTTATAAAAAGCACATGAAATGAAAATTGTTGCTACAAAAACCAAACCCAACCAAAACAACAAAATCACATAGCAGAAACACCAAAATTGTCATGGCAACAAAAACTAAGAGCCACAGTAACATTAGAAGACCAAACTACAACCACTTCCTTCCTTCCACAGACACGAACTCTGTCAACGAGTCATCACTCTTCGAGTTCGACGAGTCAGAACTCTACAACTCAGCTCGCTCCAATTCTATCTCTAACTCACCTGAATTTCGCAAATCCTTTATTGCTTCTCGTTTTCACGGCACTTCGTCTTCCACCGCTGGTCGTGTCGGAGATCCGATGTCGCTGCCGGTTAATGTCCCGGATTGGTCGAAGATCCTTGGAGAAGAGAACAGACAGAATCGGAGGAGGAACTACGATGACAGCGACGATGACGGTGATGATGAGAGAGTTCCGCCGCACGAGTTTCTTGCTCGAACGAGAATCGCTTCGTTTTCGGTTCATGAAGGAGTTGGTAGAACTCTCAAAGGTCGCGATCTTAGTAGGGTTCGAAACGCGATTTGGGCCAAAACCGGTTTTCAAGATTGAATTAAAACCCGGTCGGATAGAAAATTGAAACATTATACAGTTATATTGGATTCCATGAAATCATCGAAACTTGTTTTTTTGGTGGGGTCCTTAATTTTGGTTTTATTTTTATTATTACTTTCATGGTTGGAAAATATCTGAGGATTTTGTTATTTGTGGTGTTATTAATATCATTATGATTATGATTCTTCATTGACGTTGTTGTCAACTCGGTTTGTTTTGGGTAACTTGGTTCAGATTCCGCGATTGGATCGTGTGGGGTGAACCCGTTGTTGTAGAAGTAGAAGTAGTTCAATGATTGGTGAGATTTTGGTTTTATTTTTACTTGCACATTCTTTGGATGAGGATAAAGAATGGTGATTATTGTGCTTATTTGTTTATTTTGGAAAGAGTTTTACATTGACATTGGAATCAAACGGAATCAGATTACATAACATATATGAATTTTTATTTATTTTTAGATTTATTAAAGTAATTTATGGATTTACTCTAAGATTATATACATTATTTATTTAATAAATTAAAAAAATAATGTATATTTAAGAGTGAAGAAAGTATAAAAGTTCTTTCGATAAAAATATCTATTGATTGGTTGATAAATTAATTGATAACATATAGTTTATAGTTGATGATTGATTATTTATAATTGATAAGTTTATTAAAATGTTTGGAAAAATTAGCGATTCAATTAATTGATAAATTAAAATGACATAAAATATATTTAGTCTTTATTTGGTAAAAATAGTTATTGGTTGACAAATTAACATAATTTATAGTTTATAATTGATCTTTGATGTTAGATCATTTATAATTTATAGTTGATGATATATAATTTATAAATTAATTAAAATATTTGGTAAAATTAATCGTTCAATTAGTTGATATGTTCATATTTAATATACAATAGTTTTATTTAAATTAAAATAAATTATGAATATTTAGTCTTTATTTGATAAAAATAGTGGTTGGTTGATAAGTTAACATAATTTATAGTTTATAATTGATTTTTGATGTTAGATAGTTTATAGTTGATGATTTACAATTTATAAATTAATTGAAATGTATGATAAAATTAACCGTTCAATTAATTGATATATTCAAATGACATAAAAGATATTTAGGTTCGATTTAGTAAAAATAACGGTTAGTTGATAAGTTAGATAATAGTTTATAGTTAATAATTGATGTCCGATGATTGATATATTATAGTTTATAGTTGATGACGCATGACTTACTACAGATAAACTAATCGAAATGTGTGATAAAATTAATGGTTCAATTAATTGATAAATTAAAATGATACAAATAATATTTAATATATAATTATTTTATTTAAATTAAAATAGATTATAAAGCGTATTATTTTATTTAAATTAAAATAAATTATAAAAGATAGTAGTAAATTTTAGTTAAAATAATAAGGACAAAAAAAACTATAAATTATAAAATAAAACTATTTAAAATAGCGTCGAAAAAATGAGTTATAAGTATAGACGGTTATTAAATATTTTTTATTATCATATGAATTTATAAATAATAAACTATAAACTGAAAAAATATCTTGTCAAACAAAAATTTAATATAATAATTATTTTATTTTAAATTAAAAGAAATATAAAGGACGGTAATAAATTTGAATTTGAATTAGAATAATAAAAGAAAAAGTGGAAGAAGTAATTATAAACTATAAACTAAATTGTTATTTAAAATAGCATTTGAAAAATAACTAATAAGTTAATAAAATTAACTATAACCTTATTATGAAAAAACCATTAGTAAACAGGTTTTTTATTATAATATGGGTTTATAAGTTATAAATTATAATATAAACTATAAATTAAAAAAAAATGTTTTGTCAACTTTTTTACTAATATAAAATATTATATTAATGCATTATTTATTTAAAATATATTATATTAATCAAGTATTTATTAATTTGTTTCATTAATATGACTTCTAGTTCTTTTTTATCATGACCCAGACTAGGTGGGATTGAATCATCCATGATTAGTAAATTCATCTTTGATTGGGGTACGATGAAGTAAAAGTAATTGAAGATTTTAAATTTGAGAATCTGGAGGAGAGAAATGAATGAATTTGAAAAGAAAAGAAAATGAAGTATAAATAATTCAAGATTTTAAATTTTAGAGTTTGAAGGAAGAGAAATGGATGACGTTGAAAAAGGGGAAGTGGTCAAGAAGAAATAACGAAGGTTTTAGAAAGGAAGTATTTTGTAGAGTTTTCTTTTTCTTCATAATAGAAAATCTATTTAATTTGTGAAACTCAAATTGAATTGAATGATGGTTTTGAGGTGTTATTAAGAACTTATATAAAATCTCTAAATTCTAAATTCAATCTATGTAGTCATAATACTGTTTTTTTTTAATATAACAAGAATATTTAAAAAATATATCAAATAAAAAAAATAAAATAAAAATTATAAAAGTGGTCAACTTTCTACCTTCTGTCGTCAAATGAAATGGTGACTTGGGCTATTTACTTTTTTTTTTCTTTTTCGCCAAATGAAATGGCGACTTGGGACATTCTTTTCTTCTTCTTCGCCAAATGAATGGCGACTTGGGCCATTTTTTTTTTAGGGTTTGCGAAGACATTTAAGTTTTATTTTATTTTTTAATAATTAATTTCAATTATGTTTTTTATAAAAAATATTAAATTATGTTTTAATAATTAATTTTTATTAAAAAAAATGAAATAAATATTAAATTATGTTTTTTGATTTTCATAATTAATTAGTATGTAAATATTAAAAAAAAATATTAAATTATGTTTTGTATGTTTTATAATTAATTTTTATTAAAAAAAATGAAATAAATATTAAATTATGTTTTTTGATTTTCATAATTAATTAGTATGTAAATATAAAAAAAAATAATAATAAATATTAAATTATGTTTTGTATGTTTTATAATTAATTAAATTTTAAATAATGTAAAAAAATAAGAAATGAAATAAATATTAAATTATGTTTTCTGTTTTTCAAAATTAATTAAAATTAAAATTATGTTTTATGTTTTTCATAATTAATTAAAATTTAAATAACCTTAAAAAAATATAGAAATGTAATAAATATTAAAATATATTAATTTACAACAGAATAAAAATTACAATTGATAAAAAAAAACTAATGGTCGGTGTCACTACTGCGAAAATCGGCGCCGGCTGACAGAAGAGTCGCCACCGTGCGTCATTTATCCCAACGGAGGGAAAGGAAACGCTCGAAGTAAACCTCGCAAAAAACGGGAAAAGGTATGGTCATCGCAACCAAAACCTGGGTTCGGGAGTTGGTTACGCAAGGGGAAGGTATTAGCACCCCTCACGTCCATCGTACTCGATGGGATCCACGCTTGCTTGGGTTGTCTAAAGGATGCAAAAACAATCTATCTACGGCTGCTAAATCTAAACGGAAGGGAATTGACTCGATAGAGCGTCGCACTCTACGCCTACGTATTCTCAAGAGAGAAAGTCAGAGTCAACGTAGTTCGGGACTACAGGGAAATTGGCTCGCCAAGACTTCGCGTCTTGTGCCTACGTACTTCCATACTGCATGGAAGATCAGAGCTTTACGTAGTTCATGCTAACTACGGCTAAACAGGGTATTCTCACACAGCAGTGAGAAATTAAACTGGTTTCAAAGGTACGGGAACCTATGGGAAAAACTACGGTCTGGTCTCAAATGCACTCGGGCAAGAGAGAAAAAAGGGTAACATCAGTCGTCAGCGGGAAAGTCTCGATCGCACAGCAGTGAGAGAACAAAAGGTTAGTCGTTAGTGTGCTCGCTAGGATATCGCATCTTATGCCTACATATCCTCGTCTGGTACGAGGAATCAGAGCAGCTGTAGTTCGGCTACTTCGGGACCACAACTCAAATCTCGTTTTATTAACATTCTGAAAAATGGTTACAATGAGTGAATGCTGGAAAATAAACTCCTAGGAAATACTATCCTATTCATCTGAAAAAAATCGAATGGAAAATAGTCCCCTAACAAGTGGACTTCTAATTCTACCTCTAAAAAGTGTAAAAGAATTTCTATGAAAAAATGTACTCTAAAAAATATTAAATCTACACTAATATTTTTTCTCTTTTTTTTTCTATTCTTTTTCCACTATTCTCTTCCTCTTTTTTATTTCTTTCTTTTTCTATTTTTTCAAATATTTCTTTTCATGTTTTCCAATATTCTTTTTCATTTTTCTTTTTCTATTTTTTCAAATATTATTTTCATATATAATCTTTTCTTTTTTCTCTTTTTAAAATCTTTAAACAAAAGAAAAAATGAAAAATACAAAAAGAAGGGGGAGGGGTACAGCTATTACAAGGGGTATGCTAACTGCAGAAAAATAAACAAACTGGGGAACTGGGCTAAGCCCAATATACAACAAAAACGGGGGGTGCTGTGAGTGAACTGGGTGTGCATAGCAAGAAAAAACAAAGTAATTGGGCCCAGCCCAGCAGTTGTTGCTGCAAAAAACTGAGGGGGGGGGGGAATACTAAAACTGGGGTGTGTTCAGAAGCTTGCTGGGCCTAGCCCAATCCACCTGCACACACTCATACGCATGGGGGTGGAAATGGAAAAAACGGAGTGCTAACAGAAAAAAAAAAAACCCAATGGGCTTCGAAGCCCAAAATCCACTCTGAGTCCAATGAGGGGTTCTCCTCTCCCTCACTCAGCCTCCACTACTGAGAAACCCTAACTCTCCTTTCTCTCATACTCACCGCCGTCACAACCATCCTTTCTCCGTCTCCGTTCAAAGTCTTCGCCATAACAAAGAACACAGTATCACCACCACCACACAAATTAGTATGTTAATCCAAATCCCGCTTCCTCCACATTTTCAATTCCAATCCCTTCAAACTTCTAAGAATAACTCAAGTAGATATGGAGATCTGAGGATTTGAAGTTGACGGGGGGTTTGCATGTAGATCTTGAATGGATCGCTGAGGAATCTTGAAGCTCTATGACGACTGTTGCGACTTGCTGGAT